GCTACATCAGATATTTTGAACGTGTTTTTGCGATTGATAAAATGGAGTATCCACAAAACAATTTTTTGCTTCTTTCCGTATGGCCCTCATCAGGGGTGTCGCCATGGTGGGTGCCATCGAATCAACGACACGTTTTTTCCGGAGACCTACGCTACATCTGCGTAGAGCTCTACCAAATTCATCCCCTCCTTTCCTTAGTTAGCGGACGATGGGACGGCTTTGGCATCTGTTTACTTTTCAACGCCAGCTCGTATGTGACCTCCTCTTGCTTGCCATCCATTCATTGCACAAACGATCTCACCTTAGCGAGCAGACTGTAGGTGTCGATTTGGGGTGGGGGTGGGGGTGGGGGGGGGGCGCTTGGGAAAGTTTAAGTGTATACAAACATGTCAGCCAGTTCGAAAATATTCGCCGAAGCTTGTACCGTAACCCCGACAAATCATATCAAGTATTCTAGGCGAGATTTAATCATCTTTTTCTGGCCAATCCATGAACCACTGGTCGACCTTTTAAGTGGATTCTGGTTCTCAAGTTCAATTCTACCTCTCCGTTACTCTTCTATGCTCTCATATTGAACGCTGTATTTGCTTTTTCTCCACACAAACGCACACACATATCGCGATTAATAATTTCCTTCTCTGCCTCACCTCGGGGCTTTGAATAGCTCACGTATCCAGCTAACCCTCACTTCAAACAAAGTTTTCAAATTTTTTTTCCCCCCATCCATCGCCACATTTTTCTTTTGAATCAAACACCGTAAGCAATGAGTGGTTAGGGAAGGTAGATAACTCTAACAACAAGTTTGTTCCCTTGAATTTTCGCCGTTTAATGGACTCCCATGAAAGAAGTACAAACAGTGAGTCAACGCCCCTTCAGGCCAACGAACACCTTGTAGCATCCACCCCGCTACGTAGTGTAGATCACTTCACGACGAACCAGTTCAATTCTTTATTTAAATTGATATTTGCTCGTGGCAATACAAGAACCCTTGATTTAAACGTACGGTTCAAGCTGAAGCTCAATTTTTTTTTTAAAGATATGAGGTTTTACGGGAGATGTTTGTAGTTAATGGTTACGGATATGTTCATAAGTTGGGTGTTCCAAAGACGTGACACCCAGCAGATTGTTTCAACGTGCGGCGGATATGTTTCAACCGTTTTGTTGAAGATGGTGTGTTTTTTTGAAGTCTTTGTGTCGGGTTGGCGTGTCAATGGGTGTCAGACCAACCCCAGGTTGTCATTCTGTGGACTTTGGCTACAAGACAAATAATAATATTGAACTTTCTAATTGTATTGGGTGCTCTAGGCACGATTAAGTTCTGCTGCCTTTGATCCTACGGTATTGGATGGCCATCCTTTATTTCAAAGATCGCAGATTTTTTAAAATATATTATTATGTAGTTACGTTTTTTTGCGTAAAATTCGATTAAGATTTGCGACATTTTAAATTATGTCAGATGCGAATGATCGATATTATGCTCCGTGGCAGGTCCGCCCTCTGTCTTGATGGTCCGTTTGTGCAGATGAAGTAGAGTTTGTTTTTCTAGCCAAGGCGTTCAAAGATTTTCTAATTACACATGGTGGAATCATTATTGAATTGTTTTTCGTGTGTGTGTGTGTGTGTGTGTGGAGGGGGGGGGGGGAGGGGGTCTCTGGCTTGGTTCAGTTGGATTAGAGTTGAGAAAATCTTATTCAGATATCGTCGAAACGCGAGTGAATATTGGCGAATTATTTAAAATGTCCCCAAATCACCATTGGTCGTTCGCAATTTGTTGTTTTTTTTTTAAATGCTCAAATCCCCAGTGTTAGTAAAGTGTGGTTAAGTTGGCGACGTATGAAAGATATCCAAATGATTTAAGTTAACGAAATATGTGCAAACGATTTAGATCAGGGGTCTCCAAACTTTTCAGTCCGAGGGCCGCATTAACTATCAAATTTCAGTTCGGGGGCCAGTTTCTTCCAGGCATGTCTTCGATTTTTCTGGGCACAGTTCCTCAGCCATCACCAACAAACAATTTTTCCTTGGACAAAAAGATCTCCGCGGGCCGGATGAGAGGACTTCGCGGGCCGCATCCGGCCCGCGGGCCGTAGTTTGGAGACCCCTGATTTAGATTAACGAAATAAGAAATATCTGCAAACGATTTAGATTAACGAAATATCTGCAAACGATTTAGATTAACGAAATACGAAATATCTGCAAACGATTTAGATTAACGAAATATTTGCAAATGATTTAGCTTAACGAAATACGAAATATCTGCAAATTATTGAGGTTAACGAAATATCTGAAAATGATTTAGGTTAGGGAATAACGAAAAAGAATCCTTCCGATAAGCGACTTTCGGTTCACGGAAATACCAAAAAAAAAACACCTCCACGGTAACTAAATTTGTTAAGTAGGTTGAAGGATTTTAATTCGTTGAGACACAATAGTAGTAATGTTTGAAAGGTTTTGAGGGTTTTTTTTTCGTTGAGACTAAATAGCAGTAATGTTTGAAAGGTTTTAATCTATCACAGACAACATGACGCAGATGTAAGTTCGGGGAGACACGTAAGGTTTGGATAACACATAAAAACTTATGTACGGTAACATCAGGGCAACTCGTATCATATGACATCACACATGTGCAATGTATATGACACATCGACATTTTAGAACACACAGACACACTTTACACATAAATAAACTAGTTCACAGATGTGTGTGTACATATATATATATATATATATATATATATATATATATATATATATATATATATATATATATATATATATATATATATATATATATATATATATATATATATATATATATATATATATATATATATATATTGCCCCTATATATAGGGATTTTACCAGTTACTTGTTAAAATTTCAATGAACAGTACGTGACACGCATTGATATCTACAAGTTCTATAAATAACTAAAGGCGTCCAACAGTATTTACCCCCCCCCCCCCCACCCCTTCACCTCCCACGTCATACGCTAAGTGAATACAAATTTATTTATTTTTAAAGAAAAAATTTTTAGTTTTATTTTCGCACTAGCAGCATGATCACGTGACGATCCCTGCTGGTTAACTACATCTGAATGGGTATTTTAATCACTTAGAAGCTGCGTGATACTAGAACATATTGGCAGAATTATGTCTTGAATTTCCTTACCCGTTACGCCTGACCAAACTTTCATCTCTGCATGTACACATTTATGTGTATTTATACACACATAAACGCATAAGCCATGAAACATATGTATACAATTTGTGAAATTACTACTTCAGTTTTTAACACATTTTAATTTAAAACAGTTTTTATTTTAATCAATGTTTTTTTAGTTTTTATTTCGCGCTGTTATGTGATACCCCGTGTCATTAGCAGACCATGTCCTTTTATTTGCATTTTTTAAAACCACCGATACATTAGTTAAACAGGCTTTGATAATGTCTCACATGTGCTACAAAGATTATTTTTGTTTAACACGTGTTTAAAATTTTTAAAAATGAAAGTTGAGTCAGTGTGTGGGCGGGGTGGTGGGAGGAGATTTCGTAGACTGCACTACATGACGTCGCGTGTGACAAAAGCGATAACAATAAAACATGAAATGAACAAATGTTTACATACACATTCCAGCCATGTTTTTTATTGTGTATTCATCCGCAGGTGTGCGGCCTTACAAGTGCGCGGACTGCGACAAGGCGTTCACGCAGAGGTGTTCACTGGAGTCCCACTGCAAGAAGATCCACGGACTGGTCGAGGACCTCGCCTTCAACGAGAGGAGGGTCAAGCTCTACGTCTGCGAGGACTGCGGTCACTCGACTGACCACGCGGAGGATCACTACGGCCATGTCCGGCTGGCGCATCCGTCCAGCCACCTCAACGGTCATCACGCTGTCATTTCAGCCAGATAAATTCAAAATTGTCTCTTGTTGGCTTGCCCTGCCTCTCGCGATAAAATCAGGAGTTGTCGTTCTTTTTTCTTACTTCCCTTGCCTTTCCCGATGAAAAACAGGAGTTGTCGTTCGTCTCTTGCTTACTTCCCCTGCCTCTCCCGGTTAAAAAATGGAGATGTAGTCTTATTTTGCTAACTGGAAGACTTCGCCAACAACAATACAGTTTTACAAGACGCTATGGCTGTGTGGTGTTTAATTTTATATCTGTTATTGTTACGATTATGAAAATGTGACAGTTATAGAATGACATCCTTTATTTCAAAGATCGCTGATCAATCTTCCCAAAGTCATATTTAAATTTAGTGACAGTACTTTTTAAAAATTAATAGTTGACTTGGTTTACGCGAATTGTGTTAGAACTATAAAACAGGCATATATATATATATATATATATATATATATATATATATATATATATATATATATATATATATATATATATATATATATATAGGCCTATATATATATATATATATATATATATATATATATATATATATATATATATATATATATATATATATATATATATATATATATATATATATATATATATATATGCTGTACATGTAAGTTATAAAATTTTATAAATATATTTTTATGGAAACATGAATGTCTATTGGAGAAAACTTTTTTAAATATATGCCATCTCACTATGTGTCATCTAACATTTACATGTATCATCTAATATTTCCATGTGTCATCTAACATTTCCATGTGTCATTTAGTTTGTATGTCAGCTAACTTGTACAAATCACCCATTGTATATACTTCAAATTGTCTGTCCTGTGGGCTGGGTGGGGATATGGGATCTATACCATGGGGTTTTATGGGACATGGGATCTATACCATGGGGTTTTATGGGACATGGGATCTATACCATGGGGTTTAAAGGGACATGGGATTTCTATACCATGGGGTTTTATGGGACATGGGATCTATACCATGGGGTTTAAAGGGACATGGGATTTCTATACCATGGGGTTTTATGGGACATGGGATCTATACCATGGGGTTTTATGGGACATGGGATCTATACCATGGGGTTTAAAGGGACATGGGATTTCTATACCATGGGGTTTTATGGGACATGGGATCTATACCATGGGGTTTTATGGGACATGGGATCTATACCATGGGGTTTTATGGGACATGGGATCTATACCATGGGGTTTAAAGGGACATGGGATTTCTATACCATGGGGTTTTATGGGACATGGGATCTATACCATGGGGTTTTATGGGACATGGGATCTATACCATTGGGTTTTATGGGACATGGGATCTATACCATGGGGTTTAAAGGGACATGGGATTTCTATACCATGGGGTTTTATGGGACATGGGATCTATACCATGGGGTTTTATGGGACATGGGATCTATACCATGGGGTTTTATGGGACATGGGATCTATACCATGGGGTTTAAAGGGACATGGGATTTCTATACCATGGGGTTTTATGGGACATGGGATCTATACCATGGGGTTTTATGGGACATGGGATCTATACCATGGGGTTTAAAGGGACATGGGATTTCTATACCATGGGGTTTTATGGGACATGGGATCTATACCATGGGGTTTTATGGGACATGGGATCTATACCATGGAGTTTAAAGGGGCATGGGAACTCTACCATGGGGTTTTAACTGTAATCATCCTAGTCAAACTCTCGCGTCCTGCCCTGGTGACATGTCGTATGCAACACATCTTGAAACTTCTGACCCGGAACTACAAACTACAAACCTACAAAAATATCAATCACACAATCTTAAAAACGCACACTGTGTACAATAGAAACTACACGGTAGATGACACAAACAGCTCCAGATAGACACATTTGACGCAGACAATAGAAACAATATATATAAGCACTCAATCGTTTATACAAATACAATGTAAAAATAAAAATTGTACAGATATCTTTGTATATATACGTAAAATGGTGGCCTAAACATTTTGTATATTTAAATAAAATATTGTGGGTCTATATTACAATTTTGATCAAAGTGGGTATTTGGACATTGTCGTGACTTTGTTACTTAAGGTTTTATTTATTTTTAAATTTATATTTAATTTTTGTTTTATTCTGACTGCAATAAAAAGCATGTAATTCTTGGTAAGCCCCGTGCTATTTTTTTTAAGTGTTTGTAGCTGTGGTCTTGACTTCAAGGCCGCAAGTTGTTATTTTTGTTCTGTTATGTAATGTATATAAATAACTTCTCTTCTTCTTTCCCCATCCCCCCACCCCCCTCCCCCACATACACACACACACACACACACATTTTTGTATTTTGATCTAGTTAAATTGAATCACGAAACTGATATATTCGTGAAGTCTAGAGAGGATACCGTAACCATTGATGCCCCGTAGGTACTACTTTACGACCATTAGACAAAAACGGGACCGTGACGTCATGAAACTCAAAATGTTATGTGTGTGAACTTTATTAAAACATTAGTGAAACAGAAAAATCCACTGCGATTTTTTTTTTTTTTTTTTTTTGCCATTTCTGTTTAAGGTTTGCATGTAACAAGCTTGCAGCAATTCTCAGGGAAGAAATTTTTAAAAAATGGCATATAAATAGAATCGAAACTGAAATGGGTTTTTTTTTTAAATATAGAGCTAGCATCCTGAAATTAATATGCCAGTTACACTTACAGTTACAGACTGGTGTTTCGACCCAATGTACACAACAACTCATACACCGTGATTGCTTGCCGATGAAGACCTAAGACAGAAACGGTTTTTTGTAATAATAAATGCATTGATTTATTAGGTCCCTAGCTATTTTTCTTATATATTTACTTAATTTTAAACCCATATTTAAAAATTAATTTTATTATTGGAAATAAATAGTGAATCCTATGCAAAATTACTAAGCATTAACATTTAGAAAAAGTGTTAATCTACAATCCGAATACCATGCTCGAATACCACTCCCGAATATTTCTTCTAAATGTAAATGAGATCGCATACCGCAAAGTTGCGTTAAAGAGAAGAAAAAAAATGTTCAAACGCAGGGAGTTGAGAACAAACCCTTTGAGATTTCCACTCCAACACAACCTACTTTATCCTCAAATCTGGCAAACAAGTATTGTGTTGCGTCACGGAGGGGGGGGGGACGACGACGACACACACACCATCCCCCCCACGCCATCTTTGTTGTGGGCGTAATCTTGACAAGCAAATCTCGTGTGTGGTTTATTAAATCTCGTGTGTGGTATGTTAATTAGAACGAGGCCATTCTGGGAATTTACCTGCTAACGGTTGTTTTGTTGAGGTTATAGTTTTAAAGGGGAATCATACTTTTGTTTGAGAAATAGTTAATAGTAACCATTATCATTTTTCCCCGTTCGTGCCCAAAATACATGGAACGTATACAGTACGGTTTATCTATTTCAATGACCTCGGCATATAAGGTGCATCGTAGTCAACACTATGCCCAGACGCCTTTGTTTCCCTAACATGATTAACGTTGGCCTACCCATCAGAGTAGGGTGGACTCAGGGACGCCCCACACATTCAAGGCCAGCATCCGAACTCGAGATTTTCGGGTGAGCAGTCAAAGTTCTACCATCCGACCACTACATTTTTTTAATGCAATGTTACTGCTATGTCTTTAAGGTTTATCTCTAAGCATCAGATAATCATCAAACTGTATCATTGAAGGTGACATGATCATCAAACTGTATCATTGAAGGTGAGATAATCATCAAAATGTATCACTAGAGGTGAGATAATCATCAAAATGTATCACTTAACTTCAGAAAATAATCAATCATGATCACCAAACACCCTAGATGAAATCATCAAAATGTATCATCGAACATAAAAAGGTATCACAAAAGATCTCACAAATGCAAGAAAATTATTTTTAAGATGTCGCTAAAGGCCATAAAATAACCATCATTATAATCGAAATGCAACATCAAGATCCTTAAAATCACAATCAGGAGATTTTTTCTTTACTTACGTCTGGTCTAAGTTGTCGTATTAAAAAAAAAAATAGCAAACAGTCCAAAGAAGTTTCAAATGATTTATTCTAAAAGCAAGTAAAAATAGGTGAATATAGCATCCAGACACGACGTCTATCTCAGCATCTACGTAAAGATGCGCGTTATTAACAATTATAACGACGCTTTCTACCTCCGTGTAACATTAGATGGTAAGCTGGTTATTGTGTGTGTCAACCACGCTTTCTCTTACTATGACCGGTGGCGCGAGTATGGTAGAGGGGGTGATTTATAGTTATGGTTTGTTCTTTAGGGTATCGTAAGTTCCACCTCATTAGGATTAAGGCTAGGGTTTTATCATCTGGTGTGGTTGTTGGTTAGGGTATCGTAAGTTCCACCTCATTAGGATTAAGGCTGGGGATGAATGGAATGACTGCACCGATTGCCGAAGATAAGCTGATTTGTGACTCTTTTTGGGGGAGAGGGGGGGTGGGGTTAGACGGTTGACAAGATCGGTTGTACAGGTGTAGAAAGTTGAGACGTGAAGAGGTCCTTAAGATGTCCTTAGAATGTCCTTAAGATGTCCTGAAGAGGTCCTTAAGATGTCATTAGAATGTCCTTAGGACGAAAGAAAAATTGAGAGCTCATTAAAATGATATTTCCAGCAATTTTTTTAAAAATTATAGTATCACTTGTCATTTGCCCGTTTTGAAAAAAAAAAATTCAACATGCTGTTAATTTTTTTAAATATCCTTTAGACCAGAAGGATAGAACGTTGGATGTACATTGATACATCTGAGCTTAGACATTAATAAACATCACTTCGGTAGATTTTGTGCAGATATTTGTCTTTAAGGTTCCCACTTCTTATTATAGCTTGTAATACATGTATAAACTAATAAGTGTTATATATATATATATGTATATATATATATATATATATATATATATATATATATATATATATATATATATATATATATATATATATATATATATATATGTATATATATATATATATATATATATATATATATATATATATATATATATATATATATATATATATATATATATATATATATATATATATATATATATATATGTGTGTGTGTGT